CTCCCACTGGACCCCCACTCCTATGCAGTCACTTGCCTGCTTTTTGTCATCACAGATTAGTCTACATTTTCCAGAATTTCATGTAAATGGAATCATAAAGGATGTAAATTTAAAAATCTTGTTTCCTTCACTTATTTTGAGGTACAATCATATTATTGCATATCTCAAAAGTTCATTCATTTTCATTACTAAGTAATATTCTATTGCATAAATATATCCAAATCTATTTATCCAATCAGCCCTTGAAAGGTATCTTAGTTGTTTCTAGTTTTGGGCTATTGCCAATAAAATTTCCATGGACATTCATATGAATGTATAAAACTTACATGACTGTATGCTTTTATTTTCTCTTGGTTAAATACCTGGGAGTAGAATAGCGGGATCATAGTATAATTGTACTTCATTGAATAGTGTCCACCAAAATTTACATCCATACCAAACCTAAGAAAGTGGTTTTTATTGATCAAAGGATCTTACAGATATGATTATGAAAAGCTCATACTAGATTAGGATGGGCCCTAAACTGAATGACTTCAGTCCTTACAAAATAGTCATATGAACACACCGAGAGATGTACAGAGAAGGCGGCCATGTGGTGACAGAGATTGTAGTGATGCAGGTACAAGGCAAGTAATGCCAAGGATTGTCAGCAATCCAGAAGCTAGGAGAGAGAGATGGAACAGAATCTCCCTCAGGCCCACAAGAAAGAACCAATTGTTCCAACATCTTCATTTTGGACTTCTCACCTGCAGAACTGTGAGAGAATAAATTCCTGTTGTTTTAAGTCACACAGTTTGTGGTCCTTTGTTGTGGCAGCTCTAGAAAAGTAAACAGTAGTTGTAGGGTGTACAACTTTTTTAGACTGCCAGATTATTTCACAATGTGTTTACACCATTTATATTCTTATTAGCAATGTATAAGAGTTTCAGTTCTTCCATAACCTTGCTAACACTTAGTCTTTTTAATTTTAACCATTCTAATAGTAGTAGTGTGAAATTGTGGTTTAAATTTGCATTTCCCTAATGCTGATGGTCTTGAAAATCATTTCATGTGTTTATTTTTTATCACCTGAATATCTTTTTTGGTGAAGTATCTGTTCAAATCTTTTGCCCATTTGTTATTTGTATTGTTTGTTTCCTCATTAATGAGTTTGAGAGCTCTTTGTATATTCTAGATACAAGCGCTTTATCAAATATTTGATATTCTTCTGCAAATACTTTGTCCTAATGGTGGTGTTTTGTTGTCTTTATTTCATTGCCTCAACCATATTTTTTGAAGCCAGATAAATAGTCAAGGTGCCAGTTGGGATGCTATTTTTTCTTAAAAGTGTCCGTGCCTCAAGCCTTGATAAGTGACTTCAAAGTACTTGTCAAGTTTCAGATACATTCTCACATCATGGCTTGCGCTGGTTAGTTGGTTGTCAGGTTACCTGTTTCTGTCTCCCCCTACACTCTAAACTCCGTGGTCATGGCAAGGACTCATCTGCTCTTTTCTATATTGTGTCCTCTGTACCAATACAAACAATGATAGAGGGGCTAGTGCTGTATATCACCTGTTTATTATCTGTTTATTTCTCCAGACTCACTGTCCATAATTCCTACCCTACTTACCGTTTGCTCTGGAAAGCTGACTCTTGCAGATGCCTTTTCTGCTGCTTCTAGCAGGGTCCAGCCAATGGGAAGAGATCAGAGGGGTATTTATTTAGTTGTGAGAAAAACAGGGACAGGTATATATTTTCTCAGCTTCCTCCCTGAGAGGATTCAGTTGGTAGTAATTAACTCTTCTGTGCTGTTGGGCATTCCTCATCCTATACGTGCAGTTCTCTTGCGCTCCTACAACCGGTCCCTTAATTCCTTCAGAGCTAGGTATAATACAGCAATACAGTTTCTAGCACCTTTTAGAAACTAGGTCTTCATGATCCTGTTTTGGTTCCCTTCACTCTGTCCATACCTTTGTAAATAATTCATTAAATCATTACTAAAATCAGAATCTCACCCATTCTTGCCGAGACCCTGATTCAGAGTACTCCAAGAATATACATCAATTTTGAACCTTATTCCAACCCATATATTGAGTTTTAAAATTCCCAGGTTTTTTTCACTGTTTTCATTTAACATAACTCAGATTTCTATTTTTTTTCTTAGATACTACATTCCATCAATTCCACTCCTTCCTTCTTTCCTTGATTCATTCAGCAAAACACTTTGAGGACGTGCTCAGTGACAGGAATGTGCTGACCAGAAGATTCTAAAAGAATCTTCCTAGTCAGTTCCTCAGGAACTCATTTTCAAATGAGAGATATAAATAATAATCCTATTTCAATATGATAAATTAAGCATAGAAAGAGGTACAAAGACCTGCAGGGACAGAGTTTTTTGCCTCTCTGCTCCTCACCGGGTCAGGAGACACAATTACACAAGGACATGCCCTGCAGGCCTTGCCTATGACCTGTTTTGTGCTGCTCTTTGCTGCTCGTTGCTGCCCCACATCCTCACAGCTCCCATAAACCAAAATTGATAACATACCAGACTCTGCTAAGCACATCACAGACATTACTGCATTTAATAGAGAAACCCTCTGAATCAAATATTACCAGATGTATTTTTACACAGAAGGAAACTGAGGCTAAGGGAAACTAAGAAGTGTGAGGTAAGTAGCAAAGCACCTTTTTAACCGACACTACCCTGCCTTATAAATCTGAAATGCACACAAGTTCGGGAGATGGAGAGGATCATTTCTTTCGAAGGATGACACACTCTTTGCTGTGGCTTTCCACTTCAGAGCTGCAATATTCAGGAAGAGATGAAAAACTAGCTCTTTTCAGAGTCTTCTAATCGTTGAATAGGAAATGTGGTGTCGGTAGGCCAGGAAGCTGTCATCACCATTCTTCATTACACTAATTGCTCTGAAGATGAAATATGTCTTGTTTCCCCTCTTTATCCTACTCATGTTCATAGCTGTGCTACCTTGGAATATTATTTGCTATGGTTCAGGGCTCTTCCCCCACCTCCATAACAGAGGATGAAACGGAAGCCCTTAGCTGGTAAATGTCTCACCAGATCCCACAGCCAGTGGGAGGCAGCCCAATGTCCCAATGAGTGACCCATTTTTGAGGGTGCCCCAATAGCTGCCCTTTGCTCCAGACCCACCTCCTCACTGCCTCCCATGCAAGCAATTCTCACTCCAACCTTCATAGTTTTCTCAAAACTTCTTCCCACCGCAGAATAGCCTCTTCTTCCCAATACCCAACACCCTGCCTGAACACATTTAACCCTGTATTTCATCACTCCAGGTCCTCCAGTTGCTCTCCTTTTTATTCCTACCACAGTGCTTCCCACCAAAGATGGACTTCAAATTGCACTTAGTCACCTACTAATGCTGTGTAGATTACATGCTGAGATGCTTCAACAGATGTTAGGTCACTTAGGCAAGACTGAATCATTTCACTTACTTTGGGGATATTCTCAGAACACACTGGCCCTGTGACAGTTCAAAGGCCACAGGAAAGATGATAAATACTTCATAGCTGAAGTCTGTCAAGTCTGATAGGCTGAAAGCATCCATTTTCTGCATGTTTTCAGACAGGGATGCTAACTTCTCCATTTAACAATATGAAATAGACTTAGTATACATGCTGGAAATCTTCACAACTTCTCAGTGGATCTCTTGCTTCAGTCACTTCTGCAGCAACCAGTCCTACACAGGCCTCTTTGAGGTTTCTTCTGGGGCAAACTGACAGCACCCTACCTCTGAGCATCCCATGCAACTATTGCTACCTGCTCCAGGGCTTCTTAGATGGCAAGGCGTGGGGCTATGTTTGTAGCTCACCACTGTGTGGAAGGGGGCAGAAGAAGCTTTAAATCAGTTTGACGTCTGGGATAGTGCAATTATGAATAAATATTTTCCCCTATTGTTCTCAGGGCAGAGTTCTGAGGCCCTTGAGCTTCCTTCAAGTCTGAGCATGTGGTGCTACTGCAGTAGTCAAGTCACTGGCTTTACCTTCTTCCCTGTTTCACTCAGATCTTCAATCCCACGGTCCTGCCAGGGATCTCATCCCAGGCTCTGCTTTCTGAAGAACCAGGCTAAGATAGTTTATTAGCCTGATTGGGCTACCATAATAAAATATTATAAACTGGGTAGTTTAAGCAACAGAAATTTAATCTCCCATTTATGGAGGTTAAAATCCAAGACCCCACAGGCTTCAGTTTTTGACAAGGTCACTCTTTCTATTGCAGATGGACCCTACTCTGTATCCTCACATGGTCTTCCTTGGTGCCTGAAGATGAGGAGAACCCTCTCTTTAAAGTCACCTCCTATCTAGCACCCAACCCTTAAAACCTCATCTAACCGTGACTCCTGAAAGTCCTATCTCTAAAAACAATCACCAGAGGAATAGGCGTGTAAGCACATTATCATGTAAATTTGTGAGGGGGGTAGCACCCACCGTTATGGTCTAGAGCAGACAATTATCACTCAACAATATTCATTTGGTTTTGACTAATAAGCAGCTGAAGAGAGCATGGTCCTGCAAGATCCGCCACCCCCCCCACACACACACTTTCATTTTTATTTATTAACTTATTTTTTGACCCCTTTTGATTTCTTTTTTTGTCTCATGTTTTTATGACTAAAAACATGACTAAAAAAACTAAAAAACATCTCCAAGGAGATGGAATGGGAAGGTTATTTTAAAAAGAGAAGGAACTCCCTAGTGGTAGAACTTTCAGGGAACTTTTGTGTTGAGGAGGGCGGAGACCCTGTAGCACCCCGGGGATTTCCAGGGGTCCGTGTTCCAGAGGAGGGCGTCCTGCGAGCTCTCAGAGCGCCTGGGCCCTCAGAGTAGCTCGGTTTACACTGAACTGGCGGTTGCAAAACCCGCATGTTTACCAGAATCCAGGAGGTTTACAAACCCAGATGTCAGACTTCCTGTCCCTGGGATTCTCAATTCCCACCCCCACCCCTAACCCCTACGGCCAGCCAGGGGAAGGAGAGAGAAAGTAGGACGCAGGAGGAGGTGCACGGGGCAGCTTCACCCCTCCTTTCTCTCCACCCCAAAGGGAGGAATTTCTGGGATGGGCAGATGGCCCAGCCCCTCTTCCTCCTCCTTCTCCAAGTGCGAATGGGTAGGGCAGGGAAAACCTCCGCGACTCGAGTCTCTCAGTCCAGAGCCCAGTGTGCCCACACACTGTGGCGATAGGAGTGCCTCGGGGGCTCAGGGGCGGTGAGGCCCCCAGGAGGGCTGGGTCGCCGAGGGGACTGCGGACTCGCCTCCCGCTGGGCAGTGCTGGGCGCTCGGGTTGCGGCGCGGGCACCCGCCTGCATGACCAGGGACACCCAAGGCGCCCAGTGGTTAGCGATGCTGCCGCCTCTGCTGCTGCTGCTGCTGCTCTGGGCGCCCCCGGGCTGCGCCGAGGGCTCAGCGAAGGCGCTGAGCCCTGAACGGGTCCTCGAGTGGCAGGGTGAGTGTCCCGCGGGTGAAGGGGCTAGATGGGCACGTCGGAGGCGGGGCTGGGGGGGTGGGGGTAGGTGGTCCAGGGAGAGGACGAAGGGGCGAAGCTAGGGGCGGGGCAGGGCAGAGAAGGCGAACCAGGTTTAGGGTGGCCGCGTTTCTGCGTTGCGAGAAATTCCTGAGGATGGAATGGTCCTGCACCCCACCCGCCAATGCACCCTCTCCCTCGTCCTGCAACCTCTTCTGCAGCGGGCGCAGAAGGGGCGGGGCCCGGGTTAGTCTGCAACTGCACTTGGCTTTGGCCTTGGATGGGCCAGGCACTGGAGAATATGAAACATTTCAAATATAAGTTCCCGAGGGGTGTTTATTTGGGACGACCACACATCAGATAAACGATGGCCAAATAAATGTCCCATTTTGTCCCCTCCCAAAGCTAGCGCTCTGAGTGAGCATGGCCACCTGTGGTCTGAGACCAGATCAGCTCTCTGCCCTCCACCACTCCAGGAAAGATAATTTAATCGTCTCTAATACTGCCTCTCAGACCAGAGCTGGAGAGGCACTTCAGTGGCCCAGATGAGCAGCATATTATCCAATCTGTTCCTCAGTTTCTCTGATCAGAAAAATAGAATTTGTGACATCTGTAGGATCACTAAGAATTAAATGAAATCGTCTGTAAGACACATGGCACCCAGGGAGTAGAAGTTCCTGCAAAGTCCCCTCTCCCTGGCCCCCTGCAACACGCATGAACACACCCATCAATCCAACCTTTATTGAGCACCTGCTGCACAGGACTCATGAAGGAGCTGTAAAGAGACATGAGGAGAGGCTGTCCAGGGGAGGCCCACATTCCGGAACAGCTGTATGAGCAGCCTCTGAGGAAGAGAAGGAAATTAAATAAACCAGGAGTCCCCCAGGCAGCCTCCATCCTCTTGCCTCTGGGGGATAAGTTTGAAGAGAAGGGGTAAAACAAGGTGTGACCAGTGTCTGTGTTCATTTTTTTTTCCTTCTTACTCATTATTTATACACTTTTGATGTTATCTTTTCTGGACTGTATTCTCTAGCTCTTCCAGCAGACTTCATCAGGGACAGATTGAATAATTCTTATTCTAAAATGGCCATAGATCAGAAACCTGTTGCATTCTTGGTCAGCTCAGTAAATATGCACCTGTGGATGCACAACTATCTTCACAAAGAATCTGTCATGCAGTGCATCACGTTTTAAAATGAATTTTGCTTGAACATTAGTTACCTAGAACAGGGTAACAACCTATGGGACAGAAATTTGAACCAAGCCACACAGCTGGTGATCCTCTGAGCCAGCATTAGCTTTGATGGGCTAATTCTCTCTATATGTAGTTGATCCAAATCCTAGCCTGAGAAAATTTCTAATTAGTGTCTTCTTAATCAGTAGTCAAGGACACTCTGAAATTAGACCTATCTGCTACCTCTCGTGTTAGGTGACAGTTTATATCTATGAAGGCATTTGACATAGTTGAGAGTCTTCAGATATGAAATGCTCCTACTGAGCATTTATAAAAACACAGATTGTGTGAGTGATAAGTCACCCACATCAGTGGAACTTTAAGGTTTTTTTATGTCTATACAAAGAAAAGTTGAACATCAGAAGCAGACTGAGACACTACCTACTCCAGTCATCTATTTGTAGATGTGGAAATTGAGGCACAGCCTGGGTGTTTTTAGACATGTTTTAAAGTATCTCGGTTTATCCCCATATTCACTGTGCAACATTGACTTCTGTTAGCTATAATTGTCATCCACAGAGCAACCAGGAGATAACATGCACCCATTTCAGTTCCGTATCCACTTATAAGGGATATATAATCATATCCTTTAATCATACATATGATTATGATCTGGGAAGGCAGAAAATATATAGTATTTTTCACCTAAATTATTTGATATGTATTATTTGATATGTAGCATTAATTGATCCAATATATTTTTATAAGCATCACAACCTGAGAAGATGATGGCCAGTATTGTGCTTTTTAATTATCAATAATTTTATATTCAAAATTCAGTAGCTACAGTGTCATATAATAGTTAAGTTTATGGACTCTGGAGCTAGACTGTCTGGGTTCAGATCACTTGGCTACCAGCTGTGTGACCTTGAGCAAGTTAATTAACCTCTCTGTGCCTTAGTTTTCTCATAGGTAAAAATGAAGATAATAACAGTACTTTGTGCAAGTGTTGCCCTTTTGTTTTAGTATTACCAGTGTGCCCTCTCCTTCTGATCAGCACAGACCATTCTAACTGGCTGACAGCCTTGCAATAATTGCTTGCTGCATGTGAACAACTCTGTAGTTGGCATGTCTGCAGCCTGTCTCCTCCTGTGATTGTCTATAAGGAAATTCACTGTGATTTTGGAATTTTAGCTCTTCTCATGAGTGCTAAAACCTGGTAATTTCACTCAGCCATGTACCTCAGATACTGGGAGAGCAGTGGGGGAAATGGAGGAGGTGTACGTCTTAGGGAAGGTGGGCATAGTCTCAGTAGCCAGTTGAAAAAGAAATGAACATGAGCAAGTAAAAAGGATTTTGGAGCATATGTCAAGGACTAAAAATTATAAATGTGAAGGGCCTCCAACCAACATATTAGGAAAGTTCTCCCTGCAGCATATAGCTTCCCAGCAGGGAGCCCACCAGGGGAGCTAAGGCTGTATTGTCCTTGAGGCTGGTTAGGCTGGGTTCTTCTGAATGGCCAGTAAATAAGTGTAAGAGGTCAAAGTGCTTGATCTATCTAGGTCCTATCTGGGAAGAAGTAAACTGGGATTTGGGGAGAGATTGTCTCTTGACATCCTGTGCTTGCACAACAGGATGACAGACTGAAGCCTCAGTTGTTCATTCACTATCTATGGAGCACCGTCTGCTTATTTCCTCTTCTTGGTTTGGGTTCATTTAAAAGCAATCCCTAAGACATGTGCTTGTTTGGGTGCAAGTAGTTTATTTGGGAGGTAATTCTAGAAATGAGGAAAGCAATTCTAGAAATGAGTAAAAAGAAGAAAGCAAGCCATTACAGGCAACTAGGGCTCCATTTCACAAGCGCTCCCCTGAGGGATGGTGAACACCTTGGTCGCACTGAAGGACAGGAACTGGAGTTATTATCCACAACTGCCTCTCCCATTGATGGAGGTGGCCTGCCTGCAGCACCCTCAGGCTAGGAGACTTAATAAGCATGTGAGAGGTAGGGAGAGAAAAAGAGTCTAAGGTAAATGTCTCAGGTAAATGGCCTCCAGGGTAGGCAGTGTGGTCAGGAACCAACAGAAATTGCTACTCACCCCAGATTGGCAAGTTAAAATTATGAGTGGGATAGGATACTGTGCCCAAGAGGCTCAGAGTCCAGAAACAGAACAGTAACAGAAACAATTACCTAACAGCACAGCAGGTTTGGTGAGAACAAGGAATGAACAAAGTGCTAAAGGGATGCAGAGGAGGGACTGGCCTGAAGTGCTGGGAACTCACAAAAGGACATTTGCTTTCCTGACCAATAAGTAAGTAGTTGCCACATGGAGAAAGGAGGAAAAGCATCTGGGAAGTGTAGAATATGTGCAAAGGCACAGAATCACGTGCCAGGCAACAGTAGGCCATGGGCAAAAAGTTCTACTCTGGGTAATTTGGATAAAAGGAAAGATGCACCTTGAAGGTCACCTGTTGGAGACCCCTAAGGTGTAAAGTGCTGATACAAGGAAGGACATCATGGTTTGGACACAGGCCAGTCTTCCAGCCTGTGTTGACCAGTGTTTTAGTTATGACCTTGAGACTCTTTTGCTTTAGCACTTTACACCTTAGGGGTCTCCAACAGTCACCCAGCAAATATGGAGCTGGATGTAAGGATACCAGGATCTTCAAAGGGACCCAAGCACAAGTTCTCCTGTGCATGCAGATCTCCTAGGAACCCAAAACTGACACTAGACAGAGCAACTACTCTCTCTTTCACTCTCTCAGAGACTGCAAGGTGGTCCCTGTTTGGTTCTCTTTTCTGTGAGTTGATTTTTTCTGTTTGACTTGAAGGACTTTCATTGTAGCCCCCACTGCATCCTTGGGTCCCTTAAATTCCTAAGAGAGGCTGGGGTAAGTGTGTGAGGTATAGAGAGGTATAGAGATATTGCCGCATCAGGGGCTGTGGATAAAGTAGATCCCCAGCAAAGGGCCATAACAGGAGAAGAAGCTGGGACACGTCTATATATGGAAGCACAAGAGAAATGAGGAAATGAAGAGTTTGGTTAGAAGCACTCTGCTTAAGCAAAAAATTCAGGTTGAGGGCCTCCCTGGTGGCACAAGGGGTTAAGCACAGCACTATGAAACTATCCGCAGCCTCTGCAGCACCAGTTTGATCCCTGGCCAGCCAGGGAGCTACCCACATGGCGCAGCAGACCTCTCCTCACTCACCTCTGCTCCCCTCAGCAGTGTATTTCAGTCACCCTGCCTGTTCTGTTGCCTGCTCTGTCTCTGGTGAATCTTCTCACCCCGTGTCTCTGGCCTGTACCCCAGCTCTTATATGCATAAATAAACAAATCTTTAAAAAAAATTCTGGTTGAGTGAATTAGGAACAAGATCACACTTCTAAGTTTAGGAATGCCAGGGGTGATTATGGAGGGCAACAAAGGGACCATGTGGGAAGGTCAAGCAGTTGTCTATGAAAAAAGTCATTGATGACCTCAGGGTCACACCCTGGACCAGATCCAGGGTGTGGTTGTAGGAATGGGCTCCAAAGTGGAGAAAAGTTGAAAGAAGCTTCCTGGAGCAGAGGAGGTCAAGGAACGAGTCTCTAGAGCTGTATAGACACATATGTCAGCAACAAAAAATTCATTTAAATCAAACCCTAACATGGTGCGCTGATACTTGTCTATTTCCTGTCATAATCCTCATAATGACACAATAAGTTGATTTTCTGGCCCATTCATGGGTCACTAACTGTGGTGGAGAAAAGACTAACCTGTGCATTGGGTCATCTGTGTAGAGATTAAAGGCTTCGAGGTGGGGAGCCTGC